GAGGTGCCTCAAGCCTCTTTTGTTTCTACTTTGCACCTTCCCTTAGTATATTTGCCTATGTCCTTGGATGCTGATAATACTTCACATCTTGCTTGCCTGGAAGGAGGAAAGAGAAAGCTGTGTGGAAAAGGAAGCCTACTGTACTGAGGTAAAATTGATCATTAGTTTTGCCTTTGGCCCAGTCTCCTGCCAGCAATTGGCCCCTCAGGGTTGCCCAGAAGGGAATGCAGCGCCTGAGCTGAAAATGGTTCCCCATCCCTGCCTAAGGCCTCTATGTCTTTGTGTCCCTCCTAAATAGGGCTTTTTCCAGCCAGAACTGGCCAGAACTCAGTTCCAGCATCTCTCAGGTAGGCACCATTGCCATTCTAAGAGAATGAGGGAGGTGTTCATGGTGAGTTCCAGCACTACTGTATTTTTTTAGAAAAACAGCGCTGCTCCTGAATAAGTATACTCTTGTTTTTGACTTTAAAACCCTGTTTCCAGAAGTTTCGGGTTTCTTTTTGCAAAGACAAGTCAGTTGTTACCATTAGCCATGTAGCTGAAAATTCACAGCATCCTCACTCTGGAAATTTTATCTTTTATAAAAAGAACACTATTTGTCTATCAAGTTTGGGCAGCAAGCATAAAATTTACAAAGCTCAGTCTTTCACCGCAAGGCTCTGGAGGAAGAGACCTCAGCCTTGCAACATCTTGTACTTTGTGACAAAATCTTTTGCCTGAGATTTCAATTACTTGGGTAGCGAATGACATTTTAAAGTCCCCTCCTCCCAAAAGTTGAGCTGTGCTTTTCCTTTGCCCATCACACAGCTGTGGTTTGACATAAGAACACAGAGAAGGAAACAGATTCACATAGAAGCTGAATGCCTGTGGGCTTAACTACACGTTATTTGATGATTATTTTATTTTATTGCCTTGTAGCCATAGTCAAGAGACTTTTTCGATCCTAGGTGGGCAGGTGGAGGTATGTGGGAAGAGGCAATTTCCATTGGGATCACGGGGTTTAAAAAAAACCCCTCAGCTGTGACCCCAAAGAAAATTACACAAATAGGCCGCAATTCAATTATTGGGGTGGGGGAAGCTCCCCTTAGCACCAATGGAAGGCTTTCCCCCACCGTCTCTAAATGTAGTGTGAGGGGAAATAGTGAAGGAAGGCTTAAGTCTCTCATTTCTGCATGTTGCCCTCCCGATGAAAATCTCCCTCACATCTAGGATCTCTTTTTCTTTTATCCCCTGACCTGGCTGCAAGCTACATATAACACAGGCAGGTCTTTCAAGGGTTGATTCATGAATTTATCCTTCGGTAGCCAAAATGGTGCCCTCCAAATGTTTATAGACCAGAACCCCCCTCGTCCTCACCAGTGGCCATGCTGGCTGGGGCTGAGCCCAGCAACATCCAGAGAGCACTATGTTGGCTATCCCTCGATTTACCTCTCTCCAAATCCTCCACCGTTTTCCTGTTTCCCACCACCAACTTCCATCATTTCATCAACATATAGATAATTCTACTAGAATCAACATCTTGCATTAGCCCCCACGCCCTGCACACCAGGTCTTATTTGGCCTACCACCCCCTTTTCAGGGGGGGGATATTCAGTGCCCCCTGGGAAATCTACCTTCTTGAAGTGAACAAACAGAAAGATGCAGTGAGAAATTTGCGTTCTTTTATGTATCTATATTTCTACCTACGTCCTACGACATAGTAAAGAAAGATGTTGCAAATAAGTCACCATTAAGCTTAAAATTATAAATAGGCAAACAAAGAGCCAGAGGATTTGCTGGCCCTGCAAAGCACTGCCCCACCAACCTCGCTTTGATCTCAGCCAACTCCCACCTGCCCACCTTATTACAACCAATCAGAGGGTAGGGCTGCCTGTCATTGGCTCTGGCTTCACCTACTGTTGGTCTCCTGTCCACCCAATAGGCAGCAGCCACCACTGCTTCAAGGTTAGCACCACATGCCAAAGGATTGCTTAGGCCTGGGCTAGACAAACAGCAGATTGTTTGCTGTAACTGTTCCTAGAGTCTACTACTTCAGACTACTGGGTCTGAATGCTTCCATATTGAGTGGAGGAGGTCCTACACAAAGGAAGCTAGGTGTCAGAAGAGGCTAGGCTAGAATCCTTATGCCACATATGAATTTTATAGTTTGTTATTAATTTGATTTCTTAGTTTCTTAGTTTTATTTTCCAAATTTCTATACCACCTTTCATCCATAGATCTCAGGGCGGTTCATAACATTAAACTACAATACGTTGTATCATTTTACTGTTGTTAGCTGCTCTGAGCCCGGCTTCGGCTGGGGAGGGCAGGATATAAATTAAATATTTATTATTATTATTATTATTATTATTATTATTATTATTATTATTATTATATAAAAACCACAAAATACATTTGAAAAAATTAAGATCAACAACAAACCAAAAAATTGGTTGCTGTTGCTTATTTGGGAAATATTCAGTTATGTGATTACTCACCTGCAGCTTGAAATGGAGGTCCAGGAATGTTTATGCCACATGATCTGCTGTTTACATGAACAGATCCTTAGGCATTCTAATCAATATGAAATCATTTTAAGTGAGCAAAATCGATCCTTCATCTGCTAAGCAGAGTGCTCCCTGCTCTAGATGGAGGCTCATATTCCATTTATGTCCTCCCAACTCCTTGCAGACTTGTGTTTATTGAACTGCCCTGCCTTTAAAGTACTCAATACAAAGGGGGGAAATTGTGTGACGCTTTACAAAAACTAAAATATATTGCTTAAGGATATAATGGGAGCCTGTTAAGCCTGGCGCTATGGTATTAGAGCTAGTGCATCTGCCATAGTACCCTGCTTTTTCAAATACCGATCTTCTCTTGTGTAGCTACTGGTATTCCTGATCACCCATGTGCTAGTGCAAACCAGTTTAGGACTGGGCTGTTAGGTTGCCCCATAAGCCATTATGTATTATGTTTTTGTCAGAGAGCAGCTGTTAGCTGAAACACATGTATTCCAATCCTATGCCTATTTATTCAGAAATCAGGCCTTGTTCTCACAATAATAAATTTGTTTATAGAGACTCTACCACTGCAGTTGGGGTTCACAAAGTTGAATGTTCCTCTCTCTCCCCACCCCCGGCATAGGCAAACTCTGGCCCTCCAGATGTTTGGGACTACAATTCCCATCATCCATAGCTATCAGGACCAGTGGTCAGGGATGATGGGAATTGTAGTCCCAAACATCTGGAGGGCCAGAGTTTGCCTGTGCCTGCCCCACGCTCTGCTTAATCCCCGCTTCACATGGAAAATTATATGTTAATGAGAAAAGCCTGGGTTTTTTTCCCTGATACACTGGTTTTCTGTATAAATGTTTTCACACCCATAGAGGAACATAATGTGAACCCCCACCTATGGTCTGAAGTGGTACAGCCTAAGGCACAGATTTACAACTCAGCTGCTGGTTGTGAGAATTAGGCCAATATTCCACTAGATTCAGTGGGATTGACATTTAAGTAAGTAAGCACAAGACTTAAGTCTTAGGCAGCCTATAGGATTGGGCTTCATGTTACAAAAAATAAAAAAATAAAAAATAGTAAGCTCTAACCCTATGTGAATTTACCAATTGAAGCCGTTCAATTTAAAAAGGGTAATTGTTCTTTCTTTTTCCCATAAAAGCTTACTGACATTGTACAATTTTGAGGCAGGTGCTCAGTGAGTCTCGTCAATCTTGTCTCAGATGTGATTGACACCTTGACGAGTCTGCCTGTAATATCCACAAGCAAAAGGAAGTGTGTCACGTTTTGAAGCGTCCAGGCACCAGTGCAAATGTCGGAATGCCCCATCCTGTATGCTTCACGTTACTTGTTGTCTGTTGGACTATAAAATTTCAACAATTTTGACACCCCACCAGAATGAATAGCCATTGACAAGAAATCTCTCAGCAAAATCTGAAAGCTAAATGAAAAAAACATCTGCATTCTATTCAGGTTGTCACAGCCTTTTCAGTGGCGTTTGAATAGTTTTCCAGTTGCTAACACTGGAGGCCTGGAACACCATCAGAGTTACTATAGGGTTTTTGATGAGGATGATAAAAAATGAGGATGATTTAAAGGAGACTCGTGATATTTTTGGTTTCAGTGACTTTGTCCAACTCACCACTGAAACAAAGCCCAAGCATGTGCAACTTGCCCTTTCTTTCTTCCTTTCATTCCTTCTTGAACTTACTTCCCTCCCTCTTTCTTTGTTGCCTGTCTCCCCTAGGACTAAATTTAGACTGTGGATTTGGAGCATGGAGCAGGGGTGCATTTAGGGCAGTGCTATGCACTGAGTGCTGAGCCAAGGGCCTTCTCAAAGCCTAGTAAGTAAGGCACTGGGCTTTGGGAAGGAGGCATGAGGGCTCTGAAAGGGCCCTAGAGTCCTCCTGTCTCTTTCCCAAAGCCTAGTTAGTGCTTTCCCAGCTTTAGGAAGGAGATGGGAGGGTTCTAAGACCCTGCCTGACCCTTCGTGCCTCCTTCCCAAAGCCTTGCTTTTCCGGCTTTGGAGTGGCAGTTCAAATTTTGGTGCCATATTACTCAAGTCCATCACAGCAGGGAGCTGCTGTTTGTTTAAAGCAAGGAATTGGAACCTCAGGCCCAGTGGCCAAATGCGGCCCTCCATCCCTCACTCTCCCTAGGCCACACTTTGTCCCCAGCTACACCCTAAGTGCCTAAGAAGAGGAGCAGGCTGCTGGCTCATTGAATCCAGCATCCTGTTCTCACAGTGGCCAATCAGATGCCTGTGGTGTCAGGTGTGCGTGCAGCAGCCAGGCTCTGTGACCAATAGGATTTTGCAGGACTGGGGCCTTCCTAAATTTGTTCAGAAGAGGCAAGGCGCAGCCTCACAGGTGAGGCCAATTGGTAACTCGCAGCACCTGGTGGCAAGAGCTGGGAAGGGATATAAGGTCAGCATTTCCCTTTGGCTCTTTGCCACAGCAACATGCTTCCTGCCTTGCTGTGTTTGGCTTTTTGCTTCCTGATCCTTGACTCCCTGCTTCTTGATCTTCAGACCCTTGGCTTCTTGACTCCCAGCTCTCTGACCCTCGGACTCTTGGCTTTCTGGCTCCTGGCTTCTGGTCTCCCGCTCCTGCTCCCACCCCACCATCTTGCCCCCGGTCCTGACGTCTCCAGCCAGGACTTCGATCACCCATGAACCAGACCGTGACACGTGGGGAGCAAGATAGACATGAACACAAGAGCCCACCTACAACTCCCAGCCACTGACATTCAGAGGCATATCACTTCTGACAGTGGAGGTAAAATATATCCGTTGTGTCTGGTTGCCAATGATAGCCCTGGCCTCCATCAGTCTGTAAAACCCTCTTTTAAACCTATCCAAATTGGTGGCCATCACTGCCTTTGGTGCGAGTGAGTACTGTAGTTTAATTATGTGCTTCGTGAAGATGCACCTTTCTCTCCTTGGGCCAGATGGCTTATAGGCCCTGCATTGCACAATCCTTTAGTGCTTTTGCCCGGCTGCAATGGGTCATTGAATTCTGGTGCTACGTCTTGCTCGGCTGGAAGGAGGCTAAAGAGGTGTGCACAAAGAAACTAGACAACTGTGCCAAGATAAAAATCACATTTGTTCTGCCCATTTTTGCTTTTGGCTCTGCCTGCCACTAGCATGCCCTCTGCCCAAAGTGTTTCCTGAAAGGGGAATGATTCCTCCCTCTGGTTTGCATCTGGCATCCTTGGGCAGCTGCTGGAGCCACAGCACCCCCACAGGCCCAGAACTGATGCCTGCCCTGAGCCTGCAAAAAAACACACACCCAAATCCTTACATGGTACTCCAAGCAGCACTGGGCAGTCAGGTCCAGCTGGCACACCACGGTCAGCACATACACCTGCCAAGTCCCACTGATAGAATACTGTTTTGTCCAGGGCTCCCTGTAAAGTGTTATGTGTGTTGGTGGTGCTATCTAAACCCTTTCCAGCATTTGGCATCTTCACCCTAACCAGTTGTGGGAGCCTATTTGCCACCATTGCATCTCTGCTTTGCAGGCTTCCATCACATTTAGTTTACACATGGTTATCTAAAAGTAAGTTTAGTCAGGACTGATTTCAGAGTATGAGGCTTTGGGACTCGGGTGCTTTCAAAATTAAATCAATCAACAATCTGTTGGCATCTCATAACTAGTATCCAAAGAACATAACACAAAATCAGGTGCACCACTGGTAGGATCCAGTTTACCAAATCCTTGTGTTTCTCTTTTCATCTTTTTCTGACTTAGAATCATAGAATTGTAGAGTTGGAAGGGACCCTCTAGTCGAACCCCCTGCAATCTTTTGCTCAAACTCACAACACTGAGGTTAAGAATCTCAGGCTCTACCGACTGAGTTATCGCAGGACTAGATTCCTCTTCTTCCTACATATCTGGTTGAAAATGGGCAACTGGATTTTCACTCATTCTTAGGAGCCCAGTGATGAAACAACTGGAGCACATTCTAATTATTCGTATTATATCACCGAAAGGAACACTATAGGAGAAGACTCCTGTCTGAGACACTGGAGAGTAACAGTCAATCAAAATAGACTATAATGAGCAGTATGAAGAAATGAAATTCTGGCCTGGAGTCAGGCAGCTTCCTTTCTTCCCATTTCTTGTCATAAACTACTTTAAAAGTTCCCTTGGATTTAGACAAGATTTGCCAAGTGGCATTTGGGGAATGAGAATGGCCACCCTTCAGTGAATCCATGCAGAACTACATGCAGCATGGTACATCCGTCAGAAGCTTTTATTCCTCAAGTAAATTTTGCGATCGGGCTATTAGAATTATAAACATAAGAACAGCCTGCTGGATCAGGCCATCTAGTCTAGCATCCTGCTCTCACAGTGGCCAACCAGATACCTATGGGGAAACGTGCAAGCACTATTTGATTCCAAGAGCCCTCTCCCCTCTTGTGGTTTTCAAGTGGTATTCAGAAGCATTAATGCCTCCAACTGTGGCAGCAGATCACAGCCATCATGGCCAGTAGTTCCTGATAGCTCTTTCCTCTATGAATTTCTCTCTTTCTCTGTCCTCTATGTATTAAAACCCGTTAGATAGCCAGCTTCCACCCTATGCTAAAGCTCTCATACTTAAACAAACAGGGTGAAGTTATCCCACATTCATGCATGCATCTTAAGTCCAATAATTGCTTTGTGATAATCTCTTCAGGGTACTTAAACAAAAGCCGGCCCATTAACTTCAGTACAGTCAGGCTTGCTCTTGGCATTATTCATACTGTGCAGTTAAACATTCAAGGCAGTCTTAGATACATACTGGATTTTTAAATGTTAATGATATGATATAACCCAACACTTCAAACAACTCAAAGAAATAATTAAGGGAAATTCCATCATTTCTGGATCATCATTTTCTTCTTGCTGCTGGATTGCTTTGCCCGTATTATCAAAGCTGAACAGGTTCTCTGATTTTAAACATGTGCTACACATTTTTCAGTGTATGTATGTATCTGGGATGGCTGGAATCATATAAGATAGAACGAATGACTGTCGAAATTATCAGAAAGACAATAGACTGTCAACGTGTTAATGTCAGCACAATGAATGAAAATGAATGCTTCCAAGAAACTTGGAGTCGTTTGGAGAGAAGGAATAGATTACCTAAATACATTTAGGTACTGGGTGCAATTTAGAATATTTTAGCTTCACGTTAATGCGATCAAAGGGATTTCAACACAACACAAGAGTGCATCCTTTGGACATGTCACCTGTGTTTGATTCCTTTATCCATCTAATCCAGATCAGTGTTTCTCCATCTGGGAATAGATCAGAAATTCAGTTCAGATTGTGTTTAAAGGAGAACATCCCAAATGCACACTTTCCAGAATACCATTCTTCAAAATTCACACTGCCCCAAATTTTGCAATGTAGTCATCCAGCCAAGCAATGTGTACAAAAATGCATATACTAGGGCAAAGTGTGCCTAAAATGCACATTTTAGTGAAAAGAACATAGTAAAAGGCATTGTAATAAGCAAAAATGTGTATATTAGGCAAGATTGCATACAAAAATGTTCTTATTAATCAGAATTTGCAATGAAATGCTGGTTCATTTTCAGGACTTTTTTAGGGGGGGTGCTTAAACCCAAACAGATGTGGAAATGTGAACTGAATTTAATAGTGGAAAAAACGAAAAATGGAGAGGAATCGAGATTGAGAGATTTACCCTTCCCAAGATCAGATTGCAGTTATCATGTCATGTCTTGAATCTTAACCACCCTCTTGAAGATTGGTGATGGCCTACCAAACCACTGGCAGAAATCTCACCCAACCACTTCATTATGGGCAGTCTATGTGAATATTGTAATTTAGAGTTGGGGAAAACATGATCCACTGTGACAGCAGAAGGTCTGAAAGTTGGCCCTATGATTCTTTGGACTGTGCCTGTCGCCACTTCTTTGATACTTCACAGTGAAGTCAGCCTCGCATGCTATTCTCAGCGGTAGAAAATGATTCTTATCCTTGTCATGAAAAGTCCAAGAGCGATTCTGTTCGAACAACACAACACACCTCCACAAAACTCCAGAGCTGCTTCTGCAAAATGCACAAGGCTGCCAATACACAACTGGACCCTATGATGCCTTTGAAGTCATCTGCCCAACAGCTCGGGTGCTTTAAGAGAGGAAACTGAAGGCATTTTTGGTGTTGCATCGCTTGCCATTATTGCTATGCATGAACTGCCCATCAGGCCAGAGTGGCATCAGCGTAATTTGGTACTTTGTAATAGAGCGCAATAGGAGAGGAAAGGCTTCCATTGGAAAAGTGTGGGCCATCACACAAGAAGCTATTTAGAGTTCAGTGTGTGAAAAATTTATAAGAGGTGATTCACACAACACTTCAATATTGCTACGTCAAGCCGTGGTCTATGAATCACTCTTTTAGCAGCGTATTTCCTCTAGAGAGCCATTTGAGAAATGCCAGGGTGAGATGCTTTTCAGAAGTGCAGAGCTCTGAGTGAGTAATCTATATTTCAATTCAAGCACAACTCTGTGTTTTTGTACATTCCACATCTCCCAACAAAATGCTATCGCACCCTGAGAACCCATTACAGTTTTCATTTCAATATATACCATTAAGCGCAAGGAGTTTAGCCATTGCAATTATGACAAAATAAATATCAAACAGAATGCCTGGAAACATCAGGTCTGATGTTGATGGCAAACTATAGCCATAGAAAGGTGTCTGAAATAGACCAGAGACTTGGGTGACAGGGAGGACAAATTTATATGCTATTTTTAATATAACTGCGCAAGCGCAAAGCTTCAGAAAAGGTACACTGCCTCTTTGAAAATTAGTGTAGGAACTACAGGTAGTTCACATTATTTTTAAAATTGTATATTAAAGTTGATGTACAAAATCCACCAGCCTGCATTATGAAAGGCTGCTGATAATGTTCTGAGCAAATACTATATTACTGTGCACTTTGGTTTTGTAGATCTACTCTTAGATTGTATTTGTTTTGCTCCACAAAAGGTGCCTGTGTATATAGTTCATTTGTATCACTTTCTGCAGAGTCCCTGACATATATATATATTTATGTTTATTATAAGAATAAATGCTGTGTACAATATGAAATACAGAGGTTTTGCTACAGTCACTGAACCCTATAATGCCATTAGGAAAATAAAGGCTTGTTTTTTAAAAGAAGGGGAAAAAATCCTTATTTATATTGTGTATGAGTTATCGCCTAATGAATTGTGATGCAGTATTCCTTGTCTATGCCTCTTCCGCGACAATGTTTACTCTTCGCTATGATTAATTAGCAGGTAATAAAGTCTATTTTGTGTTTTGAAGCCAAATTGTCTACTAAGTTCTTCAGTGCTCCGTCACTTGGGGATAAAATGCTAAACCACAAATCCAGGCTTTAGTTTCCAGGCATTCATGCTGCCATCATTCACCACCATGGAGGGATAGAACTTTGAGCACTAGTGACTTAAATGAATCGGGATGCCGTTGTGGAAGAGGAGCTCTGTGGGAGCAATGCAGCTTTGAATGTGTAGCAAAGAGATGGATCAAGCTGCATGGATTCAGCCGCAGTCTTCTAATCATCTTCGAGATAAGAAGCTAAGCTGATTCTTGCTGGATCAAACCAAAGGCTCACGCCGTCCAGCATTCTTTCTCCCACAGTGGCTAACTAGGACATAAAGACAAAAACTGTGTGTTCAGGCTTTGTTTGTTTTTAATTAATGTGATACAATTTTTTATTATTCTATACTGCATTTTAATGATTTCTGCTGTGTGGTGTAGTGGTTAAGAGCGGTAGTCTCATAATCTGGGGAACCGGGTTCGCATCTCCGCTCCTCCACATGCAGCTGCTGGGTGACCTTGGGCTAGTCACACTTATCTGAAGTCTCTCAGCCCCACTCACCTCACAGAGTGTTTGTTGTGGGGGAGGAAGGGAAAGGAGAATGTTAGCCGCTTTGAGATTCCTTAAAGGGAGTGAAAGGCGGGATATCAAATCCAAACTCCTCCTCCTCCTCCTCCTCTTCTTCTTCTTCTTCCTCTTCCTCTTCCTCTTCCTCTTCCTCTTCCTCTTCTTCTTCCTTGTGAGCCACCCAGATAACTTCAGCTATGGGACAGCTATACAAACGGGATTTTTTACTTTAGAGAAAAAGTGAGAAAGAAGCTTAGAATATGACATATGGATACAGAATAGTTTTTTCTCCCTTTTTCATAACATGGGAACTTGTGGACATTCAATGAAGCCCAATGGTGGACGATTCAAGACAGATAAAAGAAAGCGCTTCTTCATGTCACACACCGTTAAACTATGGAACTCACATTCGCAGGAGGCAAGTGATGGCCACCAACTTGGATGGCTTTAAAAGAGGAAAAATTAATAGAGGAGAAAGCTATTGATAGCTACTAACCATGATGGCTATGCTCTGCCACCACAGGAGGCCAGAGAGCTCTTGTGCTCGGGTTCTGCTTCCAGATTTCCCACATGCTCTGGTTATCTCCCGCCTGGACTACAGCAATGCGCTCTACGTGGGGCTACCTTTGAAGATGACCCGGAAACTACAACTAATCCAGAATGCGGCAGCTAGACTGGTGACTGGGGGTGGCCGCCGAGACCACATAACACCGGTCTTGAAAGACCTACATTGGCTCCCAGTACGTTTTCAAGCACAGTTCAAAGTGTTGGTGTTGACCTTTAAAGCCCTAAACGGCCTCGGCCCAGTATACCTGAAGGAGCGTCTCCACGCCATCGTTCTGCCTGGACACTGAGGTCCAGCGCTGAGGGCCTTCTGGCGGTTCCCTCACTGCGAGAAGCTAAGCTACAGGGAACCAGACAGAGGGCCTTCTCGGTAGTGGCGCCTGCCCTGTGGAACTCCTTCCCACCAGATGTCAAAGAGAAAAACAACTAGCTGACATTTAGAAGACATCTGAAGGCAGCCCTGTTCAGGGAAGTTTTTAATGTGTGACACTTTAATGTATTTTTAATCTTTGTTGGAAGCCGCCCAGAGTGGCTGGGGAAACCCAGCCAGATAGGCGGGGTACAAATAATAAATTACTATTACTATTACTATTACTATTACAGACACCTGTCTGGTCACTGTGAGACCAGGATGCTAGACTAGATGGGCCATTGGCTTCATCCAGCAGGCTCTTCTTAAGTTCTTATGAGTAGTAGCCAATATAGTAGTAGTAGTAGTAGTAGTAATAAATAAATAAATAAATAAATAAATAAATAAAAATACTTTTGTTGTCATTGTACAACCTGTGCACAATGAAATAAAATACTCCAGGAAGGTATCTAATCCCTCTTTAAAGCACTCTTAAGTTAATGGCCTTCATCAAATCTGGTGTTAACAAGTTTAACTATGAGCTGGGTGAAGAACTACTGTACTTGGAAGGCACTCTGAGGGTAATCTAATCTGATCTCCTGCAATTCAGGAATGTCAACTAAAGCACCCATGACAGATGGCTATCAACCTCCACTTAGAAACCTCATAGGAAGGAGAGTCCACCACCTTCTGAGGGAATCTGTTCGGTGGTCAAACAGCTCTCTACCATCAGGAAGTTATTCCTGATGTTTAGTCAGAATCTCCAAGTTTTAATGGCTGACGGGAAATTTTCTATGCACTTTCTCCAGCCAATGCATAATTTTATCGTGTTCTCAATTATTTGCCTCTTTTTTCTAAATCAAACGCTGTAACATTTCCTTATGAGGGAGTTGCTGCAGCTCCCTGCTCATTTTAGCTGCCCTCTCTTGGCACCATTCCCAGCTCTGTGGTATCTTTTTTGAGATGCAGCAACCAGAACTATACACAGTATCCAAGTGCAGTTGCACTATAGATTTGAATAATGACATTATGATATTGGCAGCTTTCTTTTCGATCCCTTTCCTAATGAGCCCTACCACGGAATTCATCTCCCTCACAGCTGTTACACACTGGCTCAACAGCATACCGGTACCTAAGCTAGCCACCATGACTCCAAGATCAATTTCCTACTCAGCCATCGCATCCTCAGACCCCCATCAATGTGTGTGCATCTCTTTACATTTAATTATGCTGAACTGTTTGCTTACACTGACCTTGCATTTGCAATTTTATTGATCATTCACCCATTTGGGAGAGTCCCTTTTGCAGTTTTTTTGCAGATCCCTTTTTGTTCTTATCACCCTGAATAATTTGGGTCATCAACAAAGTTGGCTACCTCATTGCTCTTCCCTAACTCCAGGCCATTTATGAACAAGTTGAAAAAGCACCAGTCTAAATCTTTGGGAGACCCCACTACTTACACTTCTCAAGAACTTGGGATCAGGTTAACCAAGGAATCACCTCTCCCTTCTTAAAGTTGAGGTGGTGGTAGGGACTGCTATTGTGATTTTGTTATTATTCCGCTGTCTGCTATCATGCTTTCTATTACGTTTTTATTATTGATGTTCCATAAAATGTGTTCTTAATGTTGTACACCGCCTTGAGAACTTTTGATAAAGGGCGATATATAAATTGGATAAATAAAATAAATTGGATAAATAATATCAGATGAGGCTACTGCTGAAAGTACCACATGCCTTAGAGGTGCATTTAGTTTGTACTAGAAACTGGACTTTTTAGTGTTGCAGCTTCAGCCCTCTGGAATCAATTACCAACCAGAATTAAACGTACACATCCTGTTATTCGTTTATTGAATTTATATTCCTAACTTTCTTCCAAAGGAGCCCAGGGTGGGATATAAATTCCCAATGAGGTGCCTCCTAAATAAGTTTTCTTGTAAAATATGAATAGTGCACCTGTAGAAATAGTACTTTTCATTCATAGAGTGTGTAGGAAATGCTTTAATTGTTTTTTATATTTGGTTTGTTTTTTTTTGTATTTTCTTTTATTTATAACTCATATACCACTTTGATGGCCTCAGGTAGTTTAAACATTTTAATGATACAATCTCTCCATTGTGAAAACTGTCCATTTTATTCCTACTCGCTTTTCTTTAGCCAGTTACTGATCTGAATTATGATCTGCCCTTTTACCCATGACTATTACGTTTGTTCAGGAAACTTTGTTGAGAAGTTTTGTCAAACTTTTTTTTTTATAAAAGTCCAAGATCTAAGTGAAGTGGAGAATCCTTATGCACATGTCCAAGATGGAAACTTCTGGTGAATTCTAAAATGTTAGCAAAACAGAACTTGCCTTTGAAGAAGCCGTGTTGATTCTTCAGCTTCATGGGAACTTTGTTAGAGTTTGTCAAATGTTGACATTGCTAAGACATAATGGTCCCGAGGTAGCAAACTGAGTAAAAGCAGCACAGCTTTCTCACCAGATGAAACACCATTATCACTATGAGTTTTAACACAATGAGAACAGAATGAGTGTCTATGGAAAAACACATAGATGGGTAATCTCTTCCTTCCATTGAAACAGAATGATTCAGTAATAAGAGACGGAGCAACAATTACCAAAAAGTTGGCTGTGCAATTTCACAACCTTGGCTGTGCAATTTCACAACGTTTTAGTATGCATTTAAGGAACGAGGAAACTTCTCCACATATGCTAAGCTGGTCATCTGATTTCACATTTCCTGCTGAGGACTGGAAATACGGCTTGAAAAGCTGGCATTGTGTTCACTTCAGAAAGAACCATTTCCATCCTGCCAAAGGGACAGGCAACATTTCCCAACCAACCCATTATCTGAAGAGCTCTTCACATCAGTTGTTCCACAGAAGAATTTTTTCTTAGCTTCTCTGCGTAGTCTTTTAATTTATGTGCTGGGTGCCAGTTTCACTCTGCTCTACAGCTCAGAAGCCAGTTTCTTGATTAAAGGCAGAAACCAAAAATACACATTTCTTCACATTGGAATGGAGCTTCAGAGAAGGTGTCCTCATCCAAGAGAACAGATGTATAGCAAAAGAATATGGTGGAGATCCAAAGTGCCTCATGTAGATGCCTAAATGCTATCGTGCCCTCCAGATGTCCCATCCCTAACTCCTTGTGATTATTGGAGGCTGTCCCAGGGCTTCCCTTCTGTTCTGACACAGCTTTGCAGAGTGTTCAGTAAGAAGGGAACATCAGCAAAAGTTCCCTGTGGGTGGACGGCAATTGCGGGTACAAAGACTCCGGAACTCAGTTTCACCTTTAGCTCCTTGCCCCACATTATCCCCAGCTACAGAATGGGGATAAGAGGGGCCCATCTCGTAGCACTATTGCAAGAATGACTGAGAACATGTGTGAATTGTTTTTAATCTTCAGTTGAAGTGTTGAAGATTAAAAGCTATTTTTAGATGTGTGCAGAGCTGATTTTTTGTTTGTAATACAAAGGAAAGAGACACAGCATGGCATTGTTCAAA